TGAATGTTTCATTTTGTTTTTTTAAAAAGCTGTTTTAATTAAAATAAAATAATCAGCTCTATTAAGCACACTGTTGTTTTGTAAAGACCACTCTAAATATGACGATTGAACCATAGAAATTAACTGGTTAGGAAAGTGATAGTTTCTTTTTCTTTCTTTCTTTTTTTTGCTGGCTGTTTTTCTAGGTCTCAGGTCTGATGCCACCTGCTGCCTGGGCTTTCCTCTGAGAAACAGATCTCTCAACCATTTGTTTCAAGCAGCATCTGCAGGCAGAGCTGACCCAACTCCAGGCCAGTTCCAAGGCAGGCACAGTCTTCTTTATGTAGCACACACCAAACTTCACCGAATTCCCCTTTAAAGCATGTTTTAAAGTCTTATTAAAAACCTACATGCAAGCACAGGAACTTTCCCCTAATTGTGTCTTCTTTTTAATCATGGTAAAATACATAATTTGCCATTTTAACCATTACTCCCATATGTATTCCTCTCTCTTTTTTTTGGACTGGGGCTTGAACTTAGAGCCTCATACTGTCAATCAGCTTTCATGCCAATTGTGGCTGGCACTCTAGCATTTGAGCCATGTCTCCAGTCTGGTATGAAGCTAGTTAATTAGAGATGGATTTTTCTTCCTGGACTTGTTTCAACCTTCCCAGTCGTGAACATATATTTTCTGTGTGTGTGTGTGTGTATGTGTGCAAGCCCTGGGGCTTGAACTCAGGGCCTGGCCACCATTCCTGAGCTTTTTTTGGCTTAAGATTAACACTACCACTTGGACCAGTTTTACTTCCAGTTTTTTGTTTTTGTTTGTTTTTTGGTGGTTAATTGGAGATAAGAGTTTCACAGACTTTCCTGCCTGGCTGGCTTTGAACTGTGATCCTCAGATCTCAGCCTCCTGAGTAGCTAGGATGACAGGTGGGAGCCATCAGCATTCTGCTATCCATGTATATTTATTTTCTTTCCTTCCCCTCTCCTTTTCTCCCTCCCTCTCCTGATCTCTCTGGATGGGGTCTTGCTGTAGTACTCAAGCTGGCCTCTGACTCCTGAGCCTCAAATACCCTCCTGCATCAACCTCCAAAATTGGGACTACAGGTGTGCACCACTGTGCCGGGCTCCCTCCCATATGTATCTTACAGTTAGTTAATAGTGATCAGTAAAAGATTCGTCCATTCACCAAAGTCAAATAGGAAAAGAAATCAATACACATGGACCTAAAACGAGTCTTGTAAAGATTGTGACTCAAAGCTGCCAGTTTCTGTATAGTCCTTAAGTAAGTCTGGGTTTAAAATGTTTTTAACTTCCAAAGGACAATACATTGTAACATGTAAAAATAATGTGAAATTCATGGTTCAATATTCATGAAGTTTTACTGAAACACAGTCACAGCTGTTCATTTAGTCTCTGGCTGCTTCTGCCCTACAGACTCAGAGTTGAGTAACTTTAGCAAAGACAACATACAGCCCACAAAGCCCATGCTATTTACTGTTTTGTCCTAGCCTAGAGGATTAGGTAGCATTCCAGCCTCAAAAAATATAAACACGAAGCCGGGCGCCGGGCGCTACTTAGGAGGCTGAGATCTGAGGATCAAGGTTCAAAGCCAGCCCGGGCAGGAAAGTCTGTGAGACTCTTATCTCCAATAAACCACTTGAAAAACCAGAAATGGCACCGTGGGTCAAGCAGTAGAGCGCTCTCCTTGAGCTGAATTGGTGAAGGACAGCACCCAAGCCCCATGACCGACCAAAAAAATTAATTAATTAAAAAAAATACACACACACACACACACACACACACACACACACACACACACACGAGCCTGGTGCCAGTGGCTCATGCCTGTAATCCTAGCTACTCAGGAGGCTGAGATCTGAGGATCGCAGTTCAAAGCCAGCCTGGGCAGGAACATCTGTGAAACTCTTATCCATTTAACCACCACAAAACTGGAAGTGGTGCTGTGGCTCAAGTGGTAGAGCAGTAGTCTTGAGTGAAAAGCTCAGGGACTACACCCAGGCCCAGAGTTCAAGAGCCATGACCAACCAAAAAAAAAAAAAATTATATATATAAACATGGTGTAATGCCTATTACCAAAAATACCTAATATCTGGATAAAAGAAAGCTCCTTAAAGTGATATGTTTCATCTTAATCATCTATTGCTTTTGGGCATCCATGCTAACTAAACTCTAAGTAAATTCATAATATCTATACTGAGTATACGCCAACTGGCTATTGGTTAATAGTGAGCCTAAGTACAATGCTTTCTTCTTTAAGATCCACAATGGATACACTACATCTCTCAAAAATTTAAATGACTTGTCTAAGAGGCCAAAAAAACTTTTCACAAAAGGATCACAGTTCTTTCCTGCAGGGTCAAATGGTGTTTCTGAAAATATTCAAGAGTATATAAATAGCTGACTTGCAAGGTGGTCAGCTTCACTCCTTCACAGGTGTGTACAGCAGTTCTATCAGCACTAATGAAGTCCCCAAGAGGTTCAGGACTCTATGCAGAGTAAAGCTTACTCAGGCTTTATGATAATACATGCCACTGTCTAAAGGGACAAATTCCAGAGGAGGTGTTTAAGAAGGACAATGAGAGAATAGTCTAGATTCCAATAGCCTCTATCTTCCTCCTCATCAGTTGTGAAGGATAAGAAACGATCTCAAAGGAAGAAGGGAGAGATGGGAGATCATTTGAGGTTGTCTACACACTGTAATTAGAAATAGCATTGATGGGGAATGAGCTAAATGTTTTTTTATAAAGTCAGCATTCAAAAATGCAAACCACCAGTAATTTAAATATTACCAAACTGTGCAGATCTAAGTATTGGAGTAATTTTTTCCATCCACAAAATTTTAGAGAAAATTATAGTATCACAAAATATGAAATGGCAAGCTTGGTATGTCCTCAGCGTGAAACGTGTTTTCTATTGGAAAGGACTTAAAAAACTAGGGAGGAGGGGCCCTTGACAGGATGTGATGCTGAAGACCATGTGGTATATCTCTAAAATTGCTTCTGGAACTGGAGAGGAAAAGTTATCAAAGCACTGATAAACCAGGATGGTAAGAAGCCAAGCTGGTGAGGCTGTGCACTGAGAACCTGGGCGACTTACTACTCACAAGTCAGTTCACAATGATCATTTATCTGCCCTTTCCCGAGACTGTTAAATAAGATCACACTAAGATTTGCAGTCTAAACTTACTAGGAGCTGCTGTATTTGATCGAGTCAAGCAAAGGATCCTGAGAGCTGGTTCACCTAGTGCTTTTCAGAGGGGAACCAGTCTGTTTCCACTCAGGCCTCTTTTGCCATAGAGGACATTAAATCCTGAACACACAGATGGCAAAGTGGAGCAACGGGTTACTAGGTTACAGTTATGTTGACATGTCCTGGCTCTCTGAATGTCCCTCCCTCACTCCTCACATACTGCAAACAGTAGAAGCCATCAAAATATCCAAGTCTTAGAGAAGGCAGCCATCATCACCCAGAATCACTAACTCAGGCTTAGCGTCCCGGGGAGACCCTCAAACCCAGAGCCCATCTTTGTCTTTTACAAGGAGCCATTCATCAAGCAGGGAGCTCATGGCATTCCCAGGTAAACGAGGTATAAAAACTCTTATTAAAGTATGTTTATTGCCTGTCTTCTATATGTGGGTGGCTACCTACAGTGTATCATTTAATCTTCACAACACCTAGCAAGAGGATTTAGCAACTCATCATCATCGTCATGGCCCAGCTGTAAAAATTACAGCTCAAAGAGCTGCAGGCATGGCCAAAGTCACACAACACATGATAACACAATCTCAACTTTTTTCTCCAATCCAGGCTGGCAAGTCGCAAAACAACTCTTCTGTTTCCTTTCAGCTGCAAAATCCTGTCTTTGCGACATCCCAGTCTGCAAGGTCGGGTGGAAAACCCAGAGGCCAGTTTTCCTACTCCAGCAGCCTGGAATGAACCCTTCCCTTCCCTTCCCTTGCTTTCGCAAATGTCTATTCTCAACACCCAAACAACCTGCCGAGAAACGCGTAACCGGGCCAGGCAACACCCTCGCGCCCGCTCTTCAACTTGGAAAGGATTCTCCTACAAGCAAGAAAGGGTGTGTGAGGAAGCTGGGGGAGAAAGCCCAGCTTCCATTCTGAGCCGGGGTCCCCTCTGGGGAAGACCTGGCCTTGGCCTCGGGAACAGATCGTCTGTTTAACAAGTGTGGGGTCACCCGGGCCTCAGGGGTGGGCGCTGCACACTTAGGATGAACACCCTCAACTTCGTACAAGTTCCCAGTCACCAGCCTTTCTTCCACTCCCGCGCTGCTGGAGCACCTGAGTCCTAGGGCACTTCAAAGCGGCCCCGGGGGAAGGAAGGGGAGTCCTGGATAGGAAACCGGGGGGTCGTCCTAGGACCCGGACCTGCCGGTACGAGGCAACTCCGCTGCTCGCCTGGCACAAGTCACAGACCGGCCAAGCGGGCGCAGTGGGGACCGGGGCAGAAGGTCTGGGCGCCGCCTCCGCGCCCGCTCCTGCGCGGGGCACCCCGGTGTCGGCGGGACAGCAGAGAGAGGGGCCGGGAGAGCATCTCGGTGAGGGTCAGAGACGGGGTGCTGGCCCGGGGCGGGGGTCGCCGGGGGTCCGAGGAGGGGAGTGTGGCGTGCAGCGCCCGGAGTCGTGCGGGACCTCGGGGATGGGGTCTCAGGAGGGGCCGGGGCGCCGGGGGGGGGCGCCCGGGCCTGGGGGCGTCGCTGAGGGGCCTGGGTGGCGGGTCCCAGGATCTGAGACCCAGGGCGTCCCCACCGCGGGGCGTCGCCGAGGGGCTGGACGAAGAGGGTGCGGGGAGGCACCGGGGCGCCGAGGGAGCCCGGCTGGGGGGGCGTCGCCGAGGGGCGCTAGGTCCCGCCGGCGGAGCCGGGGCGTCGCGGCGAGGTCTGGGGAGGCGGCCCCGGGAGGTCCCGCGGTGGCCCCGGAGCGGGCCCCACCGTGGGCAGGCGCCGGGGAGGAAGGGGGGGGGGATCGCACACTCACCGGGTCCGGGGCCGAGGCCGGGGCTGGGCGCGGGCCGGGCCGCCAGTGTGAGCGCGGCGGCGGAGAGCAAGGCGAGGCGGGCGGCGGGCGGCGCCATGGGCCGTCAGTGCGGGGCCCCGGGGCGCGGCCCGGGGGAGAGGGGGCAGCGCAGGGAGCCGGGGGCGGCCATGGGAGCGAGACGCGGGGCCGAGCATAGCCCCGCCCCGGCCTCCCGGCCGCCCCGCCCCGGCCCCGCCCTCCCCGGCGCCGCCACCGCCCAGGCCGCGGGGAGCCCGCCCGACTTCTCCGAGAGGCCTGAAGCGAGCGGAGCCCAAGGCGCATGCGCGTCCCGCCCCACGCCTGCCAGTCACGAGCCAGGCCCCGCCCACGTCCCTCACCTGGACGCGCCCCGCGGGACGCCTCGTGCTGCGGCTCCCGGGAGGGGCGGGCGAGGGCGGGGCCGGGGCCGGGCCTCGCGGCCCCCGCGCTGAGGTTCGGGCCCCGCCCGCGCCCTGTGACCCGTGCTCCACCCTCACTCGGGTCGTGACCCACGCGCGGCCTCGACCGCAGCGGTCACCACCGAACAGCAGTTTGCAGACCGCTGGTGCTAGTGGTTTAACAAAACCGGTTGGTGTCCCCGCGGGTCCCCGCCTGGAGGAGCCCGGGCAGGCTGGAGGGACGGGGTGCCGACCGCGGCGACGCCCCGGGACGGCTGCCGGCACCGAGTCCTCGCGGAAACGGGCTCGCATGGAAAATGTGTGCGTTTCTTTGCTGGCCAGCCCCGCATACCGACCCCCGGTCCTAGCGCTCATCCTGGGTCAGCCGGGGCCGGCCTCGGCCTCGGAGCCTCGGGCGGGAGCCGCCGAGGGAGGCGGGGACCAGAGGGGAGGCGATCGCCCCAGGGCAAGTCCCGGAACGGGGGGAGAGGCCGGCGCTCCGGGCCCTGGCGGCTGGCTCGTAACCCCTGACCCCGCCGGGCTCGGGCCCTTCGCCCCCCAGCCTCCCCCGGGCCCGTCGGGCCTCCCCCCCACCCCCAGGCGGAGCGGATTTTCCGACGGCTCCCTCCTGGAACCCCGCGGTGACGCGCGGTGGGACAGGTCCGGGCGGCGCGCCGGGCGCTTTCAAGTCCCTGGTCCCGGGCTTGCAAGTGCTGGCATGCGCCCGGCTCGGCGGCGGGAACATCCACCCGCCTGTGCCGACTCGCTGGGCGCTCCCCGCCCCGCGGGCTCCCCGCTCCTGTCTGGGGTACCTCCCCCCCCCCCCGCCCTGCGCCCCCTCGGAGCCCGCGTCCCCGCAGTGCTCCCGCCCCGGCCGGGCCCCCCGGGCGCAGCCGCCCCCCGCCGGCCTCCGGGTCCCCGGCCCTCTCCACCCACGCGTCCCCCGCGTGGCGGCAAGTCCGGTCTTGTTCAGTGGTTTGTTTTCGCTGAATCCTCTGGGCTTCTTGTTGGAAGGTAGGGGCACCCCTGTCACCCAGCTGGGCTCCATCCCCTGGGGACACACCTTCCGCCGCCCTCCTGCTGCCTCTTGGATGGTCTCCACGTTCACAGTGGTGTGTGTGTGTGTGTGTGTGTGTGTGTGTGTGTGTGTGTGTGTGTGATCTTCAGACACCTAAAAGTATTACTGAGACAGACAGGAAGAAGAAAAAGAAAGAGAAAGAAGGTGGCTCAGTGGTAGAGTGCTTGCAGCAGACAATGTTGGCTACTACTCTGGAGGCTGAGATCTGAGGATCACAGTTCAAAATCAGCCCAAACAGAAAAGTCTGGGAGATTCTTATCTACGACTAACCAGCAAAATGGTGGAAGTGGAAATGTGGTTCAAGTGGTAAAGCTATTTTTTTTTTTTTTTTGGTCAATCATGGGGCTTGAACTCTGGGCCTGAGCGCTTTCCCTCAGCTCTTCTGCTCAAAGAGAGCGCTCTACCACTTAAGCCACAGCACCACTTCCGGTTTTCTAGTAGATTATTGGAGTTAAGAGTCTCACGGGCTTTCCTGCCCAGGCTGGCTTTGAACTGTGATCCTCAGATCTCAGCCTTCTGAGTAGTTAGGATTACAGGCGTGAGCCACTGGCGCCTGGCTTGTGGACTGTTTTAAGTATGGGCGTTCTGTAGGCTGACAGATACCAGCCCAGTGGTACAGCATTCACCTGAGCATGCAGGAGGCCCTGGGAGAGCACCAGCACTGTAAAAATCAGTCAATAAATGGGAAGCTGGAAAAGAGCTGAGCAAAGCAGGACACAGTTTTCTAAGATTTGCTAGATTCTTTCTTTCTTTCTTTCCTTGTCCTGGTACTTGAACTCAGGGCCTGGGCTCTGTCTCTAAGTTGCTTTTGCTCAAGGCTAACACTTCACCACTTGAGCCACAGCTCCATTTCCAGCTCTTTTGGTAATTTATTTAGAGAGAAGGGTCTCTTGGACTTTTCTGACTGGGCTGGCTTTGAACCCCAATCCTCAGTTCTCAGCCTCTTGAGCAGCTAGGGTTATAGGCTTGAGTCGCTGGCTCTGGGCTCATTTCACTTCTTATCCCAGTTTCACAGGAGAAAAATAGGAAAGCACACACCATATTCAAAACAAGATTCATTTGCCCAACTCTGGGCAGCCAGGCCTCGGGATCACAGCTTCAGGCTGCTCTGCCCCCTGTAGGATGGTGCCCTGTAGGGCTGGCCCTAGTCCCTCTCTCACTTGGCTCTTCAGTGTAGGCATAAGCAGGGCCTATGATTTGCCTGGCTCAGAGAGGAATGATTTGGGGGTTCTTTAAAAAAAATTTTTTTTCTTTGTGTTTATGTGTACCAAGGAATCATGGGGCTTGAACTCTGGGCCTGAGTGATGTCCCTGAGCTTTTCAGCTTAAGGCATGTGCTCTATCACTTGAGCCACAGCACCACTTCCAGTTTTCTGGAGGTTAATTGGAGATAAGAGTCTCATGAACTTTCCTGCCCAGGCTGGCTTTTACCCTCAATCCTCAGATCTCAGCCTCCTGAGTAGCTAGGATTACAGGCGTGAGCCACTGGTGCCCAGCTAACCCTGAGGGTCTTTTATTTAAACTTTATTTAAAATTTCAAGATGGCATTGGGCCTAGTGGTATACATTTTTAATTCCCAAACTCAGGAGGCAGAGGCAGGAAGAAATGTGTGGCCAACCTGGGCTATGTAGCCAAACCCTGTCTCAGAAAGAAAGGGAGGTGAAAGAAAAGTCAGGTACCAGTGGCTCATTTCTATAATCCTGGCTACTCAATCAGCTAGGCTAAAATCATTCAGATCTATGATTGAGGCCAACCCCTGGGGGAAATGTTTGAGAGACCCCCCTTTCTCAACCAAAAGTTGGGCTCAATAGTGTATTTCTGTCAATGTACCTACAACTAGAAGCATAAATGGGCAAATCACAGTCTAGGTGAGATCCTGTCTTAAAAATAACCAGTGTATACACTGTTGGGTTCAGTGGCTCACGCCTGTAATCATAACTACTCATGAGGCTGAGATCTGAGGATTGCAGTTTGAAGCTATCTGGAGCAGTTAAGTCCATGAGATTCTTTTTTTTTGGGGGGGGGGGTCCAGTTGTGGGGCCTGAACTCTGGGCTGGGCGCTGTCCCTCAGCTCTTCAACTCAAGGCTAGCGCTCTACCACTTGAGCCACAGCGCCACTTCTGGCTTTTTTTTCTTTTTGCTTATGTAGTGCTGGGGAATTGAACCCAGGGCCTCAGGCATGCAAGGCATGCGCTCTACCAGGGAGCCACCTTCCCAGCCCAGTCCATAAGATTCTTATCTCCAATAAACTACTCAGAAACAGAAGTGGCACCGTGGCTCAAGTGGTAGAGTGCTTTTCACCTTGAGCATAAAGAGGCTCAAGGAGAGCACCCAGGGCATGACTTCAAGCCCCAAGACAGGCAATAAAAATTTAAAAACAACAACAAAACAGTGCATAAAGGATGAACAAATGCAGACACTAGGCACTCATCCACTATGTTTTGTTTTGTTTTCTTTTTTGGTTTTGTTTTGGTTTTTTCTTTTGTTTTTTGGTCCCGTCCCGGGGCCTGAACTCTGGGCCTGGGCGCTGTCCCTCAGCTCTTCAGCTCAAGGTTAGCGCTCTACCACTTGAGCCACAGCACCACTTCCGTCTTTTTTCTTATGTGGTGCTGAGGAATCGAACCCAGGGCCTCATGCATGCAAGGCAAGCACTCTACCACTGAGCCACCTTCCCAGCCCCTCATCCACTATGTTGAAAATGAACTAAAATGCTGAGAGGGCAGAGGGAAAGGGTGACTTTGTCCAAAAAGAAATATACTCTTTACCTGACTTAAGTAACTGTAACCTTTTCGTATGTCACCTTTATAATAAGAATAAAAATTAAAGCCAGATGCTGGTGACTCATGCCTGTAATCTTAGCTACTCAGGAAGCTGAGATCTGAGAATCATGGTTCAAAGCTAGCCGGAGCAGGAAAGTCTGCGAGACACTTATCTCCAATAAGCTACCAGAAAACCGGAAGTAGTGCTGTGGCTCAAGTGGTAGAGCGCTAGCCTTGAGCTGAAGAGCTGAGGGGCAGCGTCCAGGCCCAGAGTTCAAGCCCTATGACTGACAAAAAATAAATAAAAAATAATAGTAATAACCAAGGCAGGGCTGGGATGTATATAGCGAAGTGTCAAAGCCCTTGTGTAGCAAGTGCAACATCCTGGGTTCAATCCCCAGTACCAAAACAGAAAAGAAAAATTATCAGTGCAAGCCACATGGATGCCTGTGGCTCACACCTGTAATCCGAGCTATTTAGGAGGCTGAGATTTAAGGATCATGGTTAGAAGTTAGCTTGGTCAGGAAAGTCCATTAGACTGTTATGTACAATTAATCACCAAAAAAGCAGGAAGCAGAGCTGTGAACTGGCTTTAAGAAAAGGAAAAAAAAAAAGTTCAACATCTAGGACCAGCACAAAACCAAAACAAAGTAACAAAAATAAAAACCGCCATGTGGAGGAAGGCCTATAGGTATCATGACAGTGTGTGTGTGTGTGTGTGTGTGTGTGTGTGTGTGTGTGTGTGTGTGTGAATCCTGAGGCTTGAACTCAGGGCCAAAGTGCTATCCCAGAGTTGTTTGTTTTGTTTATTTTTTTGCTCAAGGCTAGTTCCCAGTTCCACTTCC